AGACTATGCTATACAGGATTTAGATCACAAATTCCTTTGCACATTTGCTAGTTCATGCAAGTTTTTTGTTATATACAGTAGGTTAAAATTACTACCTGAGGTTTCGAAGTTTTTGAAATCAGTGGTGGCACACTTTTCAAGCCCAGCATTTGGTAATGCGCCAGACTAAAGAACAAAACAAGTACGTGATGACAAAGGGCTTGATCAGCGGCACAGCTACACTCATTTCGGTCGATTATTGTTGTTTGTGTTCGTCTGAACACGACGGACACAATGCTTCATGCTTCGACAGCATTTTGAGTGAATCATGATGGCAGGTGTCACCTTTACTGAGTTTTACTTCGATAAACAATAGAAAAATAACGTTGACTTTTGTAAAAAAAAAAGCACCAAAAGAAACACCGAATAGATTAACAAAGGAGACAAGTCTTACATATCTTACCTTCTACTTCGTGAATATAGTCTTCGTGAAAGAACTTGTAACCTCTGCTCAAGGTTTCTAAAATAGGAAGGCTTTCGAAAATTCTTTAATAAATGTGATTGAAATCTCTGGGAGATCTAGAAGACTTCGGTGCCAAAACTCCGAGTTGCTACTAGCCGACGCCATTTTTGTTTACCAGGCCTCGCTTTCGTGCTAAAATTCAGTGACGTCAATCCAATATGTCGGGACGCGATAAAGGCGAATTTAGGAGTCATAGGAGTCAAAACCTTTTTTCAACAAAAAAATATTCCATTGCCAAATAAATCTATCTAAGAGTTTTTAAATTGTACAGATGTAACGACGTAGGTTTTATTCTGTTCCTCACGCTTACATATATTTCATGGGCCTCCTAAAGCTGTGTGCAATTCACGTTTTCGTACTCCTCGAGCAACTATACTTTTAGCCGGTACCGCGGTCGAACTCTCTCTCACGCACAAAGCGCGACTCCTTAAAAGGGTCTACCAAGGCCCAAGGGACGATAAATGAACAACTTGACATTCCAAAGCTACAAAATAAACCCCTGTCACACCGATTTATGCAAAGATATATCCCAAGATGCATAACACGTGAAGAAATCGAAGGATAGGTACTGTATATTGACAAATGGAAAAAATAAATTTGAATTTCTTTTTCAACAATTGATTGTCGTTATTATGCACAGGTTTGTCGTTTCTCGCTATTGAATATTCATTTCGAGTGAATGATTGTATAGAGGCGGAATGGATTGCTCTTTTCTATGGAAATTTTGTTATTGAATGTTTCTTTTGCACCATTGATTTGATTGTCAATCAATTCAATTGATTATATCTTGGTGCTAATGATTATCGATTCCGCGAGATTGAATTTACGTTCGTTATGTCTGATTGTCCTAAGATGCAATTGTTTATCTGTCAATGCTATTGAATGTTACTACATTTGTAAATCACGTAATTGAATGTTTCTTTGGGTTAGGGAAAGATAATGCTAATGAATGTTTTTTTTTTTATTGTTTTTACTTTTGATGTAAATAGGGATTTCTCATAATAGCGAAGAATGTTCCGCGACTATTCCGCAATGCAAAAATTATTTCATTAACAAAAGAATCAAATTTTTATTATTTAAATTTTTCGTATCAGAACAGCAACAAGCATAAGCAAGATTATTCGGCGACTATGCCAATATGAAAATACAATTTGATTTATAAAGTCTTTTTTTCGAAATCTAGATAAGGTATAGAAATGACAAAAATGGCAAATGTATTTTTTTAAAGTGATTGGAATAGTCTAATATGTCTCTCTCGCATGAATGCACATAATTCAGAAATGACAGGTTTGAGGCAACGGGGATGTCGCCATGTATTCCTTGATGCCCTGTAATCTTTGATGTGCTTAATCGCATTCTACCTTTATTCTATAGCGCTTGTGTTAATTATTGTGCCTTGTAGCCCTATGTTATGCTTGTTTTCATGGGACTCTAAGAGGAGCATGAGCAGTGTAACCTTTATCGGAAAGCAGCTCACAATTTGGTGGCAAATCAGTGCTAAGCCTGGACCGATTGGTTGCATCTGTAGACAAGTTCCGGCGTCATTCAAGTGTCCAGGGCATCCAGCTTCTGATTTGGTTAAGGCAGTCACAAACCACTTGAATAGACATGATGTGGCTATGTCGATGGCCATTGTAGTACATATGTTGGTTCTCTGTCAGCTGTCAGTCTATTTATTGGGGTAAATGTCCATCGATGGCTGCTACAGCATTGGGTAAGTGTGTCCATATGTCACGCCTATCACTCCATTTTCTACGGCTGTGCCATGTTATGCATCGATGAAAGTGATGCCATAAATTTGAGCAATTTGGTAAATCGTCCCAGAAACTGTACTCATGCTGACATTTACATAACCATATTAATACTAACAAGACACGATTATCTACAGATAGTGTATAGGGCCTTCCTTCTCTGGCTCTTGTTAAATTAAGCTTTAAGGTATTTGCCCCGGCAAAAATTGTGTCATTTTTTTAATTTTTTTTACGACATAAAAACTTATTTAGTAACTATATTTCTTAGTTTTACCAGWTTTATGTAAGTTTTGCAGCGATATACATGTTTTTTTAGAGTCGAAAGTCCCTCATTTTTTACCGGAAGCGGAAACGAATTTTGACTATACTTTTCCAAGGAAGTCATTTATCGCGTAATTTGACCACGTTCTTTCACACCTATGCCTCGTGTGTTGGACCTAAGCTTGCAACATGGATTCGACAAGGAGAGAAGCTGCTTTTGAGGCTTTTAAAGCCGAGTTTGTACGAAATGTTTAAGTTAAGTCGATCAGCCTGCGGTTTGATCATCTTTCCCCCAAATGTAAGCTTTTAATCTGACTATGATCTTTGTAAAACAATTCAGTTACKATGTCCCAAAACCACTGATAGATCTGTTGGAAAGTTTTAAACTGAAACCAAAAGAGACAGACGAACAGGGCAGATCACGAATTTATCGCCGACTTTGGGCGATTTTATGGGTAAGCATTAGTTGCGCTTTGCTTTGATTTATCATAAATTGTCCACATCTGTCCGTATACAAAAGGCGCAAAACGATGGCCACTTCAAAATAACATGCTTCAGTATTCTCTTCGACGTTATACGCAGAACAGATTCCGTGTTGAATTGTGAAAAGTCTGGCAATTCAGCGAAATTCCTCCCAGCGATAAGTCAGATTGATTCATCGCGGCGTTCCCGCGCTTCATTCGATTTTATAAATAAAATACGGAGTGCTTATTCGTAAGTAAAGCTTACATCCTCACTTTCAAATACAGGGAATACTTCCAGAGCAATAAATCCATATCTGTATAATCCTTACTACATTATTATTTTGTTTTTCGGGTATTATTTAAATTTGCCTCTTCTTCATTCTATCCTTCGATAGAATTTCGCCACATAATAACCATTTGTATTGCATTTCAGTTTGGAAGTGGACAAAAGCTCGGAGATACCAAACGTGGTGCACCAACGTATGTTTAACCCTCCATCCCTAAAGAGAATCATAAGGGAAACCTTTCCTGGGGAGATACATGACAAGCCTGATGCAGACCACCAAAATGTAAGTTTACCTCATTGGTACCCAGCTATGAATTATTACAGGAACGAGTATTTCTCTAAATCATACAATGAAGATAAGGACAATGCAATACCTTTTATTTCAGGTATACAAAGTAAACCTTGGCGACCTTGCAAGAGCAAAGTGGCCTGTTTCAAAAAAAAGTAGACTCATTTATTATAACACTATCGTAAACATTTTAGACAACTTTTGTTACTAGAGTGAATTGTTCTTTTGCTTGCTGAAAGCTGTAACACATAGTAGTTTTATCCCCAGGTACTGTGAAAATAACTAAATATCGTCTTTCATTTCTAAGACCGCAAGATTTACTTTATTGAAGAAACATTTGATCAAAAATATAGTTATTAATGAATACAGTTATAATGTACCTGCTGTTACTACAGAGTTTCAACTTTCTTTATTCTAAATAGCTCAAATGGATGCATATTCAYTCAAACTTGATATCTATATACATTCAAATTAATATGCACACAATGAAGAATATCAATGTATTTTTTTCATTTATATACAAGTATATACAAGTATGTATAACCTTATTGTTATAAAGCATAAACAAAAGTGAAATATATCACATTATCTCTAATAGTAACTCTCAATTATATGTTCCAATTATTTTTAAGAATGGCTCTGTGCTGGTATTTTCTTTCGAATTTACCAGTACCGTAACTACTTCAATGATTCAGTAAACAGCCATTCCATTGAAACACATACACATGTACAACATATTCTTCTATTTGACAATTCAGTTTTTCAGTTTCTTTGTTTGTAATATTTACAAGATCTATGAGAGGTTCGCCGGTGATCAAGTGAACCACAGCGGCAACGCTGCCCTCCATGATGACCTTTGCCTTTACCATAACTCTTATCCCCACAATCACTGTTCCCATCATTGTCTTTGTCGTTACTCTCACCATATTCATCATCATCATTGTCACTGTCACCATCATCATCACTATCACCATCATTGTCACTGTCACCACCATCATCATCATCACTATCACCATCATTACTGTCATTGTTGTCATCATCACTATCAATGTCATCATTCCTGCTACTGTCAATCTCACTATCACTATCGTCATYCATCTCATCACTATCAACATCATTGCTATCATTATCACCAGAATTCTCATCACCACAATCACCTTGATCAACATTTCCATCATCRCTRTCACCACCATCACCRTACGTATGATTGATCTGTTRCCGCTTCAACCACTTTCTTCGTGCTTCCTGGTCCTCAGCTCTTGCAGTCTTCATTGTTACTCTGTTTCTTTTCACTTTATCTGATTTTYGYTCTTCCAAAAGCTTTGCACGTTGTTTGTTGGCCTTGTGAAGGGCTTCAACAATGGCAGGTATTATTGGCAGCTTTAACCTCTCATACAGGTCAATAACCCAGCTGTATTCTGCCAAGTATGTCCAGTATTGCGACACGGGTTGACAAACCAATTTGACGGGTTGACCATGTCGCGATCCAAACAAAGTACCGCCCACCCTCCCCACCCCAAGTTCAATTTTGTTTGGTATTACCAATCTGTATCTTTTACCTTCCCCTCCCTATAAATATTTCTATTCTATGTTTGAAAATCATGTGATTTAACACCCCTACCTCATGCGTAGAGATCTTGTCACACACCCGGACAACCGGAAGTTGCTAGTCAATATGCTAATGAGATCCACGGCCGCGATGAGGGCCCTGCCAAAAAGTCGTCGGGTTGACACAACCGGACAATATGCTAATGAGCGCATGTTATAATTTATGATAACAATCGATCATTGTAGTATTTG